GTGTGAAATGAAATCGTCAGAGCAGTTAGCGTATGCGAGAAATATCTGATGAATCCTGGCAGTAACGTGCTACTGTCGAAAATAGGTTGTAATTGTTTGCTATGCACATGGTTGCTGATGTCTTATTTTTTTTTATTGAAAACAAAGAAAAAGCTTTAGTATATCTTTTGCGCATAAGCAGTAGTAAGTACTACCGAATACGCGATCCTCTTAACGCAAAAAAAAGAGTATCGTTTTACTTCACCAAGGAAGCGAATGCTGTATCTTCGCCAAGCAAGTCGTTCCAGTACTTTATACGTGGCTTGAGATTTGATGTATACTGATTCGACTTGTTGTCCCAAACATTGAAGCATCGCGTCGCTCCTTTTGTTCCATGCATCAGGCGAGATTCCCACCAGTGTCCACAGGGCTGTCTGGTAAGTGGGGATCGCGTATAACCAGCGGCGACATACTTTCACACATTCGACACAGCCCGCTGTCCGATAAACGAGAAGATGTACTGAATGATTCGGGAGGCAAAATCGAGATCAAATCAGTCATATTACGTGTATGTGAAAGGGGACGCGCGAAAAGAAATTTGGCACGAGGCTTTTAATCGAACAAAGCCTGTATAACATAATCCGGACTCGTGAAATAATATGTCCGACAAAGGAAAAGCAAGTCGAACCAGGTAGCTCACCTGAATTTTATTTGGAAAAGGGGGACCCTGAAGATTGATCTATTGTAACCACCAGTAACTTCATTAAATCTATGCTATCATAGCGATACGCAGATACACATTAGAACAGGCTCTTTCTAAAACCATCGACTTCTCGATACGAAGGAAAAGGCTTCAATCAATACTCGGGTTTATTGTTTGCGAGCCGCAAAAGTCATATATAAGTAACGAATCGCTTGGCCTGGAAAACACAGCATCCCTGTGTGTGTGGGTGCGTGCATGTTTTGGTAGAGCAAATATATCATATCTTCAACAGGTCCCCCTGATATCTTTGGTGAGCGATCATCACTTTCAAATAGGTAACGCATACCTTGAAAATATGTAACGAAGTAAAGTTAAATAAGAAAAGGAAGAGAGAAGTGAAGGTGTAAGGGGAGGGAAAGAGCTGTTATAAGAATCACGCTTTAAAAGCAGGCACATCGGAAAGATCAGTGCAAGCTTTTCGATCCAGGTGAAACCCAAAATGATAAGAAAATTGTGTTGTGATAAGCTACGTGCAGGAAGAGTGAGAGAGACGTACAGCTGAAAAAAAAACATTCCAATTTTTTACAGATCTGACAATTATACAGGTCTGCTGGCGTATGCTCTGGCGTTGCCTCTTATAAAATAACCGACCATATCCTCGATAACAATTTTTTTCTTGACAATTGCTTTGGCAATTTAGGCGAACACAGAAAGTGAAAAAGAGTGCCAAAGCATTGTGATCGTGTTACTTTCGGCTACGATACAGAGCCACTGTCACTGTTCCCCGCTTTGTTTAGCACGGAGCTGTGAATGGATGGAGGGGGAGTAATTAGCTTTTTGTTCGCGAAAAAAGAAAAAGGAACTTGTCGTGCACATAAAAAAAAGGCGAGGCAAAAGCGGTAAAACGTTTATGCGGAAAGTGCGAAAAAGAAAAATATATTTTTATTTTGTTTATCATTTTCTTATTTGTGTGTAATAAATAATAAAAAAAAAGTTCGTTTTAATTATCCCAACATATACCGTTGGCATCACATGCACCCGAAGGTTCACGATCGGCTGCCGGAGTATATGACCACATTCCCACTGGTATATATTGCAAATTTTTTCTTCAGGGCGGACCACTGAATCTGCCGATCATCAGAAGAATTATGACAATAGCCAGCACAAGCAATGACCCGATCATGGCACAGAGCAGTGCATCTGTACTACAGACCAAAGCTGTACCAAAACGAACTGAAGAGAAGAGAAAAAAGAAAGGCGAAATTGCTCGCTTTATATAGACATTTTTCTCGTTCGGGACTTCAAATCCCCGTGAATTCTCATTGGCCCAGATAACGGGTTGCGTATCAACTTGTGGGTTGCCTACTATGGCATAACAAAAGATACAGCACCAAAGGAAATGAAAGGAGGAGTGGTACCTGATGGTCAAGTAGACAAGCGTGCTTCGGCGGTAGTGGTACGTGTCTCTCACCATGGGCTGCTGTACCTCCGATGCTGTCGCCGCTTGGTTGTGAGGGGGTCCGTGCACGGCACCGTGTCAAGCGAAAACAAAGACACGAATGTGAATGAGCATGTAGATTCACGGAAGAAATGCTTTTCTGTGAGCAATCAAATGGCAATACAGGAGTGATTGACAAGGTAAACAACTTAACAGATTCTACGGCATCAGTTGTTCCTGATCCAGCATTAGTAAACATTAAGAACACGATCCTCCCAGCAGCCAGTTTCTATTCTTCACCCAACAAGGTAAACAGCATGAGTATAGAGCGTAGTCCACAGACTATTCCATTTGATTAGTATCTTTTGATTGCATGTGCTGTGTGCGGGAATAGATACAACACACACTTGACTCCAACGCTGCAGTATATAAAAAAAGATCGTTATCTTTTACTGTGAAGCGTGCTTGTCTACTGTTGCTTTATAATTCTCGCCATCCGCCCAACAGTTCTCTGAACTACGCCGTGTAACCTCCCTCCATCCATTCCGAATTCATACTCTATCCAAGTGTGCTGCCGCAGATAAGCTGACCGCTCATGGTAAGTATACGCTGCCGCTAGTGAAACTGACTCACCCTTCATTGATTTTCATTGCTGCTGATAAAGTTAATCGGTTCGTTTGTTTTTGTGCGGGTTCTACGTTTTTTTTAGCAGCTTTCAAGATCCATTGGGACGATCAAAAGAATAACACCATAAACGATGACTTCCTACTGTACATCTTTTGACCCTTTTGCGCGTAACTCGTTGCTCCATTGATCACCTTGTTCACCCGCCATTCCTTTGTGCACTTTGAGTACCAAGTAAATTGGCCAAATCGTTGCGTAACAATGCGCTTTCACTCTACGGAGTTTTCGTTTCAAGGGAAAGCTGTTGGAACGTTCGAGGTTTGACACACGCATCACTTGTCACTATCCAAAGAAGAAAGATCTGTGTTGCGCTCTTCCTGAGCTCCTCGTTCCTAGACTACCTTTGCTTCCTGCTGACTCACGTCAGTACAGTATACCCGTCTGATGACATCGAACAAGATTCGATTTCGAACCCACTTGAACAACATTCCTGCTCGCTGCGTCCTATCGCAAACGTCCTCGAGAAAATCTGACAGCCGACTTTGCGATCGAGGACCTAATATCAGCTGCTAGACGAGCACCAAAACAAAGCAGTCCGGGTATAGGCAGTTTTCCATATTGCATGGTTGACGCAATATTTCAACATCCGCTTTATACAGATGACACTTTGGCATGAAAACGACACCAGCACCAAAACGACACTTTGGACACTTATAAAACAGCGCCAGCACCAAAACGACACTTTGAAAAACGGCACCAGCATCAAACGACACTTTGGCATGAAAACGATCATTGGTTTGAGCTTTGCGCTAACCCAATCTAATACACGCGCCCAGTCATCCTGCTGATAAGGTATCAATCAACTTGTATAATAATACTATCCGCTATTATCCTCATCCCCTGCTAGTTCTCAGGATGACGCGCATACTTTGTTAACTGTGCTACTGCTACTACCACTACTACGATAACACTTTATCTACACACACCATGCTGGCTTTGTCTTGGCTGTTCTAGATATATTGAAGGGCAGAAGTTAGCAGTAGCAGTAGCATTAAGTGAGCAGTAATGTAATAGGAGGTTGTCATGATCATCACGCGCATAATAATCTTCATCTTCTCTAAGAGAAAAAAAGTTTGTAGTAGAATCGTCTATAAGTCGAGCGTATCTTAGCTAAGCATATGCCCGTTGCTATTACAGTGAACCCCCGCTTTTTGCACCCCCGTTTATTGCAGATCCCCACTTATTGCAACTTTTTTGAGTAGATTCCCGCTCAACACTTAGTAAAATTGCAGATTCCTCGGTTTTTGCAGATTGCAACTTGGAAATCGGGACCTGCAATTTCCCGCTTCAGCCTTATATATTGTATATTAATCTCAAGCTTCAGAGACAGTGAGACTCGAACCAGTGACAAAAGAGATACACTATTGTATTCTATTATTTAAGAGCTTTTAAACTAAATAAGGAAAGATGTGATTGCCAGCTTATCGATCCCACTTGTGTAACATATTCACATTTTGCAGTCCCTCAGATTTTGCAACTTTTTTAACGGTATTCCCGCTGTTGCAAAAAGCGGGGGTTCACTGTATATGGTGCTAAATCTTCACGGTACATTACGGTACTCCTTCATTTCTCTATCATATTGATTATGTTGCAAGCAATTTTCTACAAATGTATCACCACTATGAATAGCCATAATAGATAGTCCTGCCCATTCGCATATTGAAGGATTATGTACTATTAAGATATACAGGACAACAAAGTGAACCACAAATAAAACATGTCTTATGGAGAGGGGGTCAATATGTACGACGCGGACGCGAAATAGCTTTCAATGGTGACCGTGTGCTCCCAGCGCGTGCTGCTAAAACATCATCTTCGTCAACCTCGTGCGCATAGCGTCGTTTTCGCAAAAGTGGCGGTGTTGTTAATGCTGCTGACGTTGTATTCTCTTTGTCGTTGTTGTTGTTGTTATTTTTGCTCTGATCTGACGATGATGGCAACGGTGACGGTGTGCGTTTACTCCTCTTCTCAGCTATCCCAGCGCTTGCTGCTACTACATATATCGTCTGCATCATGGCGTTGTTCGCGCCGATAATCTTCTTTGGCTACTGGATCTTTTACTGTGTTGGTATCTTGACCAATATTACGTAGCAATATACCTCTATTTTTGTTGTTGTCGTGGTAAAGTTTGTTGCCTTGGTTAGTAGCCAGCCATCCATTATTCATCGCTACTAAATTTATAAGCTACAGTAAACACCATATTGACTCATCCTGCCGTCGCATCTTCAGCTTCATCCGAGTCATTCGGCTCAATATTCTGCTCGTGTCGTAATCGCAGCATTCTGCAGTCGTTACATAGCTGATGGTGTCGAGCACCGAACCGTAGTTTGCCATTAAGTGTTCGACCAATAAATCGATTTTCCTGTGTTACCAAAAAAATCCATGATTTGATTTGTGTCAGTTGCAGGAGCGTGGTATGAGAGGATATACACACTTAAAAGCTAAATCTGCTACCCGACTACTTACCCATCCTATACAGTATACTCTAACAACTCAAGACATCATATCGAAAAATATGTTTCGTCCTCATCGGCAGTTGCTCCGCCAGCATGCCTTATGTATACCTGCAGTAATCTCAAACTTCTCTAATTCTATGATATGCATCGTGACAATAGATTGCTCATAGCTGTTATGCTAAATTTATGCTGCATGGTTACGATCATGCTGCATGGCAACAAGCATGTAGGGCTGTCATAGCAACGGTACTTATAACAACTGATTCATATGTAGACGACAAGTTTTTGGTGTGACAGAAAGGAAGAAGCGGCAATGCATATCGCCGATTTTACAGGACCCGAAATTTTTTTGTCTTGCTTTTCCTTCTAATATCAACACACACACACACACAAAATGAGCAGACTTGAGAATCTAAACGTCAATATACGCGAACTACTTGCCAATTCACTCGAGCCACGTGATCTCGTCGAATTAGCAACCACGTCGAAACAAATGTGCAACTCTATGATGGACAACAGCGTTTGGAAGAGGTAAATAAACAAATCACGGAAAAGTGAGTCGGGTTGGGGGTGAGGAGAGTTATCTTTCCCCCCAAGTTTAATTTATTTTGACAGATCGTTCTTCTTTTAAATTAGTAAAACCAATAATGACTTTGGCAATCTATTTGAAATTTACGCCATCTTCACGAAATCAGCGGGTTTGGAACTGGCACCTGATTTAGCAACAAAGTTTAGTCAAGAACCTACAAACTGGAAAGAATATTATGCGCAAAAGAACGCCGCCGTCGACAGCGCGGACGACGAAGCTTTAATGACTCAGGCAGAAAAGGAGTATTCGGAAGCACAAGCCTTTCTCAAAACGTTCCAAAGTGACGGCAATGTTTCTGTATTAAGTCGCGTTGCGTCCAAAATGATGTGGATCTTGGGTAAGTAGAAATTGGGAATTTATCTTGAAAAGTATTGATAGTTGACGTCGAGACTAGATGTTTTCCCCACGCATGCTGGATGCTATTATATCCTTGGATTTATCCTATTCGTTCTCAACAGACTTGAAGATGCTTTGATCCCGTTACGTACTGGTCGTCTTGTTGACCCTGGATTCGAACCTATTACTGGTAAGATTATCTCTAGTTTGCTGTATATTGCTGCAGGGATCCAGGGAGAGGGTTCTGTGTATATAATAAGCCTAAATTGCTTTGGCTTCAATTCTTTTAGAACTCCAAGAAGAAATCCAAAGGATATTGCAGGGATATAAAGGATCTCAGGATGAGACACCATTGCTGGAACAGGACACGCTTTCTCGTGAATTGAAGGAAGTGCTCGAGGAGATTTTCCGAAACTTTGATAGAGACCAGGATGGTGCATTGAAACCAGAGGAACTGGATAGCTTTATCTTTACCACCAACGGCTCGCATCCCCCTGCACCTTTCTTGCGACAAATGGGACAACGATTTGGAAGCAATGCACGCGGCTGGCTGACGCGAGACGGATTTTTGGTATGTGATTTTGACAACTAGAATTATAATGCCTTGGATCAAATTCAGATATTTAAGAAAACTAACTAACTTGCGTCATTTCTCTATCAGGCATTTTACCTAGAACAAACCTTAGACGATCCATCAGAAACTCGAAGTGACCTTGGTGTCCATGGATATGACCCCCAAAGTTTAAAAAAACGCATGGAGGAATGATCATAATAAAAACAACTTTTTGCATCATTTTCTCTATACTCTTTGTGTAACAGTACTTTTGGGTTTTGCGTGATGAGCAGAGCACTTCTCTTCCGCCCTTTTCTTTTGAAGTTTATGTGCGTGATAAAAAAACTAAGGCCAAATGGATACCCCACTTGTTTTTTATAACCGGTCTGAATATATAGAAACTGTGAGACTCTGTCCTTTTTTCTATGAAGCAAGGCTCTTGTTTATTCTGAAATCGACCATCTCTAATAAAATGAATCTATTAGGACACGGGCAACAAAGTGTCACGAGCATCTGTGATTTGTGGAAGTCAGAACATTATTCTCGGAGGCAAGGTATGCCCACACACATGCACTGTGTGTACGTTGAATTCATTCGCCAAACACTACAGCCAAACGCTCACGAATGCTCGGACGTTTCCTTTTATTAGACAATTATACAAACGGAATGCGTTATTCGTGGAGATCTTCGACGGACAGGCGGAGGTCATGCCGTCGTTGTTGCGATCGGTCGATACTGTTTACTTTCGCGAGGATCGATTATCCGACCACCATATAAGACATATAAAGGGTAGGTGAAAAAAAATGAAACGAGAGGGGAGGTTTTTGGTAGTCTCTAATACCGTGTTTTCTATTGTAATATAGCATGTTCAGTTATTATCCGATGAAGATAGGCGATCATGTCACAATTGGTGAAGGCAGTATCATTGAAGCTGCTACGATCGGATCGCACGTAACGATAGGAAAGAATTGCATTATTGTAAGGATATTAAAGACTTTGTGCGTGTGCGCGTGAGAAAACAGAAGAAGGGCTGCCAAGTAACATGATCTAATATGCATGGTTGATAGGGTCGATTCGCTATTATAAAAGACTGCTGTTGCATCACTGACAATACAGTTATACCACCTAACACAGTCGTACCTTCGTTCTCCGTATATTCTGGCTCCCCAGGTAAATTAATCTTTTTTTCTGGATGTGACAGTAAGAAATAAACTGACTATGTTGTTTGTTTTAGGAACATATCAAGATGAATTACCCGAATGTACACAAGAGCTCTACGAAAACAAAACTAAAGATTATTATGCAAAATTTACAGCCAAAGATTAAATAATAGTAATCATTGCAAACACGCACAACTTTTACTTTTGCATACACAATTTGCTTTTGTTTGTTTCTATGGGATTTGGAAAATACTTTCCAAGAAGTGGCAAAGAAAAAGAGTCAATTGTGAGATGCCTTATTGCATTTGCTATATCCCTATTATTTCATCTTTCTTCTATTCAACATACATATTATTTCTTTTTCGTTCACTCCTATAATCTGTTATGCTCCGCCTTTTCACCCTACTATGGCTGGTTTGCAATAGTTGGATCAGCATTGTATGGGCTCGTTTGGAAAAGCCGTTCGTTCCCAACACGTACCTGGTCGAATTTGAATCAAAAACGAATGTCACGGATCAACTGACTTCATTCAATATAACACATCGTGTCCGCCATGCATTTGAGCATATGAATGCTGTATCGTTATCCTTTAATACTTCTCAAGACGCTTCTCAGTTTTTCAACGTTGCCAGATCCAAAGTGAAACGAACTTGGCCAGTGGTAAGTCTATTCGATCACAGAAAACTACGTCATGTATCCAGCTAAATCATCCATGTATGATAGACTGCAGTTGCTCGACCCAATGCTAAAGAGTTGCAAGTCGGGAAAAGCCAGTTCCCTAACTTGTTCAGTCACTATCACGCTACGGGTGTGAGCAAAGTCCGTGAAGAATTAGGGTAATAATTACTTACCAAGTAGCTACGATATGCTCGCGAGAGTACGATACTAAACGATTTACAATTTAAAAAACTTAGAATGACGGGCAAAGGGATCAAAGTAGGCATTGTTGATACAGGTAAATGGCGATTTCCAGAAATAAAGCGGAATGCAAGCGCAGTTACTAATATGTAGAGTTTAGGTATCGACTATACTCATCCTGCACTTGGTGGATGCTTTGGTCCAGAGTGTCGTGTTGCGTACGGAAAGGATTTTGTTGGAAACGACTATACTGGCGAAGGTGAACCAATACCCACTTCAGATCCACGCGATTGTAATGGTCATGGAACGCATGTTGCAGGTAAGGAAAAACTCCACTAACAGTATTTGGTACTTACTAGTTCTGCTATTATTAACGGATATTGATATCGAAACAATAGGAATTATTGGCGCGAATGATACCGAGTTCAATTTCACTGGAGTAGCTCCAGATGGTAATAAAAAGACCGCTTCCTTTAAATCAGTAATTGTCTCGTGTTTATTAATACTAAAGCTATTAATATATACTCCTCCAACAGTTATCTTTGGCGCTTATCGCGTATTTGGTTGCGATGGAAGTAGTGCGGACGACGTGATTATGAAAGCCATGGAACAGGCTTACGAGGATGGCATGGATGTGATCAATTTATCCCTGGGCGATATTGGTTGGCCTGATTCCCCATCATCGGTACTTGCTGATATCCTTACTTTGAAAGGAATGATCGTCATTGCTGCAGCAGGAAACGAAGGTGGAAAAGGTATATTTGAAGTCGGCGCACCATCCTTGGGACGAAATGTTGTCTCTGTAGCAAGTACGGATAATACGCAAGCGCTAGCGCATTCAATCCAATTTGGGGATCAAACAATAGGTAAGACGCACTTCTTATACATAAAAAAAGGATCCTGTACCATCATGATGCTCACAGGGGAACAATAACTATATAGGATATGCGACCGCTTCTGGAGACCCATTTCCCATCGATGAAGCTGAAATTGTCACCATATCCGACACATTTTTATCTGAAAATGATGCCTGTGCGCCATTGACAAACATAAACTTGTTGGGAAAAATTGCTTTGATTGGGCGAGGTGGATGCTACTTTTCTGATAAAGTAGGTTCTTTTTTTTTGGCAGCTGATCAAGTCAACAAGATAGATAATAGCAGCTAAATTTTATATAACTGTTCACAGGTGTTAAATGTCCAGTCAGCAGGCGCATTAGGAGCCATTGTATATAATAACGAGCCCGGCTTGATCACGCCGTCAACCATCGAACCTTTCCTTCTTAGCTGCGGCGGTGTATCTAAAGATCACGGCGAGCTGTTATTTAATTATGTCCAAAACAACCCTGGGTCGATATACCGATTTTCAAATGAGGACATTAGCTTTCCAATTGACACTGCAGGTACGATTACGAACGAAGCCTTTTAATCGCTCTGTGAACGACATATTGATACATATTGGGCTTGCTGTGGTTACAGGGACAATGAGTGCCTTCAGCTCTTGGGGACTTGCGCCCGACTTGAGCATCAAACCGGATCTCAGTGCACCTGGAGGTCAAATATATTCAACGTAAGCTGTTGTTAGCTTTTCATATTACGCTGTCTGCATCACTGGGAAAGTATGACTAACGCATACACATCATATCTTGCTGCAGGTTCCCAACAAACCGAGGCAGCTATGCAACATTAAGGTAACACTAACACAATCAAGACATACTCTTCAAACATTGACTATAAATGAATCGATTTTATCCGTTTTACATTATTAGCGGAACAAGCATGGCTAGCCCACATGTCGCAGGGATTGTTGCTTTGCTTCAACAGGCACGAGGAGGCAGTCGAAGCATTAGCGTCAGCGATTTACGATCCGCGCTGATCAGCAGCAGTGTTCCCTTTAACATTTACAACACCACAGCGTTAGATTCTGTCGCCCGGCAAGGTGGCGGGCTAATCGATGCATATCGCGCTCTGCGGATAACTACCAAAGTATCCCCGCAACAGTTGCAGCTCGGTGACCTGGCACATGCCTCGCCCAACAATGAATACACATTTACGATCCATAACAACGGTCGCATGGCTGCCGACTATACCATTACCCACCGTGCATCCGGAACAGCCCAAGGTTACAAGAATAAGGATCTTATTGGTAGTCAAATCCCAATGAAAAAACCAGATTTGCTTCTCGGTCATCAAGTAGAAGCAATCATTGAAAGCATAACACCTGAAAAGGTGACGGTCCCTATTAATGGAGCAAGCAACGTAACTGTTCGTATTAAACCTCCAGAGAACTATACCGTCATGCCGCCATCTATCTATTCTGGATTTTTCGTGGTGACCAAGGACAACGATCCGTACGATATTTTGCATGTTCCATACGCTGGTCTCACATCCACATTAGGCGATCTTCCTGTGCTGTACATTAACGAAACAATGCCAGAGGTGCTTGTAAATCGCGTAGTCGGACCGCTTTCACCTGCTTTAATCAGGCTCCAGTTGATCCATCCCTCACCTTTAGTCCTAGTTACTGCGCTCGACGAATTCGATCGCCCCGTCGGCATCATCCCTGGCGGATATTGGTCTTTTGTGGGCCGACACGATATAGGCAATAACAATGATGCGCTTATGATGACTTGGAATGGTGATATTGCTGCTACCCCTGAGCAAGCCATGGCTGTACAAAGCAAATCATCGTCCACCACAGTCGATCTTGCAGTCAATTATCCAGCACTTTTCCGCGCAATGGACCATCATGACATTGAAACGGAACAGCAAGAAGATCGTGACGGGAGCGATGATACGGCTAATTTGGAGTACCATTCTCAGTCGATTAAGCTTCCAGGCAAGCCTTTGCCAAGAGGAGTGTACAAACTGAAAGTGATGGTTTTGCATGCTTTTGGTGATTATCAAAATATGGCAGACTATGACACATGGACTTCGCAAAGTATATATGTAGCGTAGAGTAATAATAAGGACTCTGGCTATCTGATAATAAAATACCTCGTTGCTCGATATAGAACTTTTACGAAAAGACAGTAAATGTCAGCTTTATTCCGCTACAAGCTACAATACGTGCGCAAATAAAAAGCTCAGAATATTTATCAAGTATCGGTCAATGACAAGTGATTGGTATTCTCCATCAGTTTCATCGCAATCTATTATTTTTTGTTAACTTTCGGAACTCTTAGTTCATTCGAACAGTCATATAATTACAGTGGACCCTAATGGGATCGACGGGACCCTCGTTTTGAAATTACATTACTACAAAAAATGAAAAATGATATACATTAACTGTTGCTACACAATTATCCAGAGTTGATCTCAACAATAATGGCACATCGTTTTTTTTGTAAAGGTCAAAATATTACATGCTACATTTGATGGATCGATACATCGAAATTGACAAATACTTTGTTATTGATGTTGAGGTTATAAAATAACAAGATGTTTAATTTATTGCACTAATAATATTGTTGCGGATACATTTAAAATTGAGAAAGTATGAGAGAGCGTTTTGATTTCATGACGATAATCTAGCCGATAACAATGATCGTGATGTGGGTCATTAAACATGTCTTTATCTGCACCAACACTTGTCGCCGCAGACAGTACCTGGACAGAAGTCTGTAGGTGTAATGCATCTATCGCCTGTTGAATCGCACGGAAGTTGACGAGAGTCAAGCTGTTGGTAACCACCAAGCACGTTCTCTACTTCTCGGATAGCGACAAAGTCATTAACGAGGACCTTTAAAGGGACCAAAGTGGTCTTGAGCATAGAAGAGCTCGAAATACCTTTTGTGGCTTTCAATAATGGTGCGCGTCACCCTAAAAGCAAATTCTGAACCTACTTCACTTCAAGCTTTTTCAGACCACAACAAGCGTTGGCTAGCATATCAAGAACAATATGTCATGTACATATCAGTTTTTTTGAGCTCTGCCTAGAGAAAGTGTATATGGTCATCTCTTTTGGCTAATTTCATATATGAATTCGGGATTTTCTGGAAACTTGCCATGGCGAAAGAAGAGAAGAGGTCTTAAACATTAAGACTACAGCGTCCCATCTTGTAGATTCTTCTGTGTCCAACTTATTTTGGTCCTTGAAAATCGGAGCATCGGGTGAAAATTTTTAGTCTTGTGCGAATTTACGTAGATCAGGTTTTGGCGTTGGTTGCTGCTTCCACATAGTCGAACAGCGCGACCTTTGGCAGTGATGTTCGTCAGTACTGCACCTGCCTTGCTGAGGTCGTAAAAGCACCGACGACGCGTTGCTGCTCATCTTTTAAGAGCTGAAGAAAGCAATCGTAGTTAAGCTCGCTTCGTAGCAGACTTCGTAGCGAGAAGATCTCGGTCTCGTAGGATTTTGAAGCCTCATGACCTTCATTGTCGTCGTCATCATCGTTTCCACCAACAGCATAGTTGAAGCGCTTTTGCAAAGGCAAGAGCTTGCTTCCAGCTGCAAACTTGGACAGACGGTTTGGTCTCTTCAATAGATACATCTCCTTCTTTCTTGAAGATAAAAAACCAAGACGATCGAAAGTTGTACACGATTTCATGCGACTATTGAAACAAGAAGCCGTGCACTGTAAACCGAGGCGCCTACTGACGATCAGCGTTGTAAATAACTCTAATTGCCTGACATTCTAAATTGTTAGAGTATTTTGTTTGCATACGTACAATGCCCACGCAATAGCTTGATAATTCAAAAACTTGATCACGTCTTTGCATCACTAAATTGATGATTTAACTGTTACTTCACAAGACTATAACTTAATAAATCGATGACTTGTTGCTTTTAGGAATCACAGAGGTGATCAAGTTATTGCGTGGGCGCTGTACCGATTTCTTTTTCACCGCTTTCAGTCCACACACCACATAATGACAGGTTTTCTCATCATGTATAAATTTCAGCATAAGAGTAACATACGTGGTAATTGAGGATGCGTATCAGCTATTTGTCCCAGAAACTATCAGAGATAGAAATTTCTAACATGCAATGAACACACGTATACAGTATTTGCTCGATAGGGTGTAATGATACATTCTTCATTGCAAAGAGGTATCGTGCACTCCTTATTCCGAGAAAGTGTTTTTTATAGCTCAACTATGTTTTTTATACATATTTCAAGCTATAAGAAAGCATGTCAAAGCATAAAAAACTCCACAGAAGCTTTTGTACTTACAGATCAAAATCAATCTTTTGTTTGTTTCGACATAACCTTTATATAATCAATGTTAGTGATGTCGTACCGATGCCACTTCTGACACAAACCACGATCTAGGTTCTTGTCACCACACCGTCCGCAGGCGAGCCGAAATCTGGCTTGCTGCTTATTTTAAATTCCGTCGAAAATGCTGGGCTTGAGTGTAGGACAGCTTGGCAACGAGCAATAAAGAACAAAGAAGACCCTTTAATTCGTAAGCGTGCTCTCGCGATTCTCTTTTATTTTGTATACTTATTCAGCTATAGCGAGCCAGGAAAAGCTAGTATTTATAATTGTCATTATCAATTTGGCTTTTAAAAGAATAGTCTTTATACAAAGGCGCGTTAATCTACCTCAATCGTAAAAAAACTGCGAGTTTTACTTTATTATAACTCTCCACCCAAAAATATAAATCACAGAAGGTAAGTTGATCAGATATCATCGATTGATTAGAAGAACAATTTATATTTAGCTCAGTTGAATGAAATTAAATAATTTTGGGTCATGCTCAATTTTGGTTTTCTCAGAGGCGGCCGGACCATTGTCGTATTTGAATCAGTGAACGAGCCAGGAAAATCGTGGAATGTTATCGACCATGGAAGGGCGACCAAAGAGACAAAGTGCAACTGAAAAGAATTATAGAGAAAGAAAGCGGATACGAAAAGAAAGAGAGGTAAATAAACTTTCTTTTTATATATTTAGATCGAAAAATTATTGATGATGTTGTGTGTGGCACTCTTGTCGATAGGGCGATCAACAAACTGGTGATAGCAGTAACAATAACGAACCACAACTATTACCAGACATTGTTCAAGAGCAATGTCGACAGTTATATAAAGCTATCAAGGAGTATCCTGACCCGGATGAGTAAGTGTAAACGTTCACAGAGAGAGAAAAAGGGTTGTATATCCTGAGTCGGCTAATAAGAGATGGTGAATTATAGACCAGAGTACTTTTTGAGCACTCTTTTTGCCCAATTGCCTTCGAAACGACAATATCCAGATTACTTCGAAGTAATTAAAAATCCTATCGCACTATCTAATATCAAGGTAATGCTATTATACGGAAAGAGAGGTTTTATACCATTTATCTGTACACACATCTTGGAATAAGCCTAGTTATTCATTTTAATTTTCCTTGCCTTTAGACTAAAATCGATCAACAAGAATATAAATCTGTTGGTGACTTGAAGGCTGATATTGATCTTATGGTGTCCAATGCCAAAAAATATAATATCAAGGAGTCTCAGGTTTATCAGGATGCCATTAAAATTCATGTACGTGTTGAGAGACATTGGGATGAGTAATGGATAATATATGCGTGTTTTCACTCATAACATGATTCTGCAATATCCTTTATAGAAACTGGTGAAGCACTGGCGTCCAGATGGCCAGGACAAGAGCCACAGCCATAGCAAGAAGAACAGTCCTAAAGAGAAATCATCTTCTGCGACATCCTCCCCTGCAGACGAAAACAAGGGCAAGACAGTGCTCAAATTGCCAGGCGGTGCTTTTGGAATCCGTCAGCAACAACCACCATCGCAACCACAACATCAGCAATTAACATCACCACCGCAACAGCAGCACGTCAAGGCTATCCGTCTGAAAGCGGTCGACAAACAAAGCAAGAAGAGAAGTAAGATGATATACGAAAGGGGCCAAAGAGAAAAGCTATGTATCCTCATTCGTGAAATTTGATAGCCGTTCCTCTGCCAGAGCTTATGGATGCAATCGGTCGATCGGATGGAAAGAAAGCACTCGAGCTATTGGAAACGGATCCTGCTATCAACGTGAACGAGCTAATGGAAGTAGAAATGTTTGGCGATAAGTTCAAGTGGGGTCCTCTGCATGCGGCATGTTATTATGGCGACGTCAAGGTTGTTCAAGCCTTGGTCAATATGGGTGCAAACGTTGAATTGAACGATACTTGGTACTCGGCTACACCACTTGGCTGGGCTGCTTTTGGAGGTTTGTTTTCCAGAGAGAAGCGTGTGCCCAAGAAAAGATATCTTAGGTATCTGATTCATTGCTTACCTTTCTGATAGACAAAGACAAAGTGGCTCGCTTTTTGGTGGAGAAACACAATGCAAACCGCAAGGCAAAGAATATACATAACCAAGTCCCATTCGATGTAGTCACAGACAAGGATGATCCTCGTTGGATCGGTATCTTTAAAGGACCATTCCCTGTAAGTTTTTTCAAGCGTTTTGAACGAAGACGGAGAGGAGCGGAAAATAGATCAAATGGCCACTAAGCGTTCTTGTTCTTAAAACGGTCTTGTAGACAAATCAGCATGATACTAAGAGTCCAGAAGATCGATTCGATGACCAATCCCAACGCTTCAAAACATCCGAAAGTCCAGCTGCAACTATTACTACTGCTACTGAAAGTCCACAACCCCCAGCGAAGAAGCGACGGGGCCGACCACCAAAATCAGAAAAGGAGGAGCCTCGACCAGTAGAAGAAATCGATCTGAGTGATTTCAATGCGGTTGCGTTCCTGAAGGATATTTTCCACTCGATTCAAGTGCATACCGATAACTCGTAAGTTTCTTGCGTATCTCGATACCAACAAAAAAAAGTGAAGTGTAGACACTGAACTTTTCTCTCCTAGTGGACGTTTATATTCCGAGATTTTCGAAGACTTGCCAGATCGTAACGAATACCCCGACTATTACAATGTCATTACGGAGCCTCGATCACTTAATATGATTGAGGTTAGTAGATTAAAACATGCACACACTCGCGGATGACACATTCTTACGTTCACTACATGTATAATTCTATACTCTAGAGCAACATGGTTAATTGTCGATATCCAACACTTGGCGCATGGTTTGACGATATCAAGTTGGTCTTTGATAATGCCATGGAATACAACGAGCCCGGCTCACGCGTATATAGAGACGCAAAACTACTTTTGGTAGATTACAAAACACTGTTTCTCAAAAATATGTGGCATGTATCATGAACCTGTAGTAATCATAATTATGTAATTTGCTTCTTTCAATTAGCGTCTAGTGAACCGTCTAAAAGAAAAGAACTTTGCACGACTGGGAATACCAGAAAAGCAAGAACCTGCCGTAATGAGACTGCCGGTAAACAATGTCCCATACGAAGCTGACGATAAGCGACGACCAGTACCAAAGCGAGCCAGTAGCAAGCCAAGATCACAAACAGAGGAAATCCATGGTGCAACACCGACGCCTGAAACCAACATTAACCGCACGCCAATTGTCACTGCGGCGATACCGATGCAACAAGTACCTCCTCCACCAGTATCAGCAGTTCCTTCGCTACCACCACCACTACCACAACAACAAGTACAAATTCAAGCAGCAATGTTGCCTACCCCACCGCAACCTCTGAACGGTCCTGCACGAATAATCTCTCGTCCGTTCATGAACGCACCCCCAAATGTGGTCAATATATTAGGCGCTATATCAACAAACAGTGCTCAACCTGCGTTCCCAACCCCAGACTTCGTTCCTGTCGCTCCACCAGAGATGATGCCCAATAGCCAACCCCTTATGATGAATGGTCAGCATCCTATTCACATGGGAGAGGATGGATCCCATCTGCCTACTGCGAGCCCTGCATTTCTTGAACTCTTCGGCGTTGACATGCGCGACTGTAAGTTGTCTTCATATAGTTGTTTGTGTAAAAAAATAGGATATACCAATATTAAATGCAAATTATTTATGTAGTACGACCTTTAAAATCGATTCAGTTAGAAACGCCAGACAAATCATTTACTGCAGCACTGGATGGTCATGTGGTTGGTCATAGTTTGACAGTACCCAGCAAGGTGGATGTGATGACGATCAAGCCAGTATTCGAGCAACCGTTGCTTTCCGAACAAAGACGTATATCAGTCGCAGTATTGCAAAACAACGGCCGATTAAACATGCACACGGATCCCACGAACAGCGGAATGCCTAGCTTCCAAAGTGCTCCCTTGATGCGCGGACTCAACACGATCAAGATCACGATTACCGCGAATTTGACCAGAGCACCTGGTGTTATGCCTGAATTCAAAACCCAAATTTACTTTTTATTTGTTACACAGACGTGGTGATCATCTTTGAGTTTCTCGTGCACTTTGTTGATATTTGCTGATAACAAGTAGAAGTGATAAAAACCATCGTGATTAATGGCGGTGTTATATACAATATGTTTTGCTGTTTACTCTGTAAGTGTTACGGTGATTGTGTAAAAGTATTATGCTTCGAACGGATGGCGTGGAGGTGATATGACAGGAGGAGGCATCTCCGATGAGGATATCTTGTCAGAAGAAGAGTTGGGCGACGATGGTTTATAATCGAAGTATCCGTCTGCTGTTGTTTCCGGCTCAGGTGTTGTATGCATGGGTGCGGGCCACCAAAGATCAGATTCATTTTGAAACTTGGCAGTAGCAGCAACCATGGCATCCCTGTGAGCATGCACGAGTCTGTCGATTTGACCGCTAGCTAGACTGTGTCGTTTTCTCAAAGGCGGCAGCATGCTCAGTCGTTGGTGATGATCATCTTGAGTCACTAACGAGCCGGATATAAAAATGTTTGGAATCCGCTGTAAGCGTTTGCTGACAGGCTGACGCGTTCGCAATGGATAAGGAAGGAATGCTAATATATCTGGCTTCGGTTCATGTAAATAATGTCGGATTGTAGTTGGCAGTGGAACGTATAAATTAGGCGTTACGATGGGACACTCTGCGACAGGAACGTAGAGGGCATCTGTGCTACTATATAATCTTTTAGAGTTTATAGAACTAAACAAACGCATCTTCAATTTTCCAACACAAAAGCCTACATACAACTGTAGAAGACAGGTCAGCTACTACGGTGTCTTGGAAATAAATATAATTCCTTACGCACATTACTTATAGGTGATGGTGTACGACTTATTATCGACGATTCTTGCACGATGGAAGCGTTATAATCGTGGCTGTGGCGAGATTCTCGGTCCAGGTCATCAAAGGTTTGTTGAAGCGCTTCGCTTTGTGAGCGTACTTTTTCACTATCACTGTCATGATGCCACGATGTGCTTTTGGGTGATGATGGTGACAGTGACAGTAATTGTTCCTCAACAGCATGGCTGGCGACGGTCGATCTACGCTGTCGTTGATCAATGTTGATGGAATGATGCTCACTGATTGGAGTACCGCCGTCCATTTGTTTGGTAAACTTATATGGTTTTCGGCAAAAGAAAAAGCAATAAATACAAAAATTTGGGTCGATTGATTTCAATGTCGGGTGTTGTGAAACAGAATTTTGCTAGTCGTACAATAATCCATTATTTTCCAAAAACAAGTAAATAGTACATCAAACCCATGTCGCATAATAAACAATAACGAATGACAACCCCGCAATTCTAACGGGAACTTATTTAGAATGATAACAACAAGGTGCGTCTCTTGCCTGTTGGATAAACAATCATTGCCGATGCGAATAAGCCAGCTGCTAATCCCAGTGCAACTGTCAACATTTTGATTGGGAACAACATTTGACTAGTATCTTCCTGATGCAGTAGAGCGTAAGCGCCTTTGACACCTGATTTGTTTTACATCGTAATTTTTTCATGTCAGCGTTTATCTTATGACTTTATCTTGCATAATAGGAGGATAACTTACCAATACTGCCTGGCACGAGCAATGTAATGCCTACTGCCATTGAGATCAGTGGCGGTTCTCCAGTCAGCTTTAAAACAAAGTGGGAATACAAGCCCACAGCAAATGCTGCAGTGCTCTCGACAATGGGTGGGTCTGAAACGATCTTGTTCATAAAATAACAAAGGCAAAAACCAATGATGGCGCCCCCGAGCTGGGCATACGATTGTCTTATAGAAGATCCATAGGACATACCAATCGAGATACTCAGCAGCGGTAACATTGGTATATAAAACCATTGAGAAATTGGGTTCTGACCACATAGATCGTCTGATTGCTCTTCTGGTGGATTGCTGCTGGCGGTGGTAGATTTAAGAGCTTCGGCAATGCTTGTGTATGCCCGGCTGCCGATTTGAAATCCATAAGCAAGTAAAAATGCATAAAACACCGCGTAAATCAAGCGGATAGTTCCGGTAGTCACCCGCCTTGCAGATAGCTCCATCTATTTTTGTCTTTTCTCAATAAGACGGTTTAAACGGGTAAGTGACAATTTTGAAGAATTATTACTTACAACAGCCATTGTCATTGCATATCCGGGCAGCAAATTTAAAACGCCAGAAACGGCGACACTTGTAAAGCAGCAATAAGCATGTAGAGCCTGCGCCAAAGCAGACACAAACACACACGCGGAGATTTCAAACACGCGTCCGTAAATTGGCCGACAGCTCGCAAGCACAAACAACACTGCAACAACAAGACCGAGTATGCCACTCAGTATACAATCGATCCATGATCCATCAAACAGCATGGCACATGCCGTAAAGCTGCTCACAAAGAATGAAAATAAGGTGCCGAGAAATCCCCATGTTGGAGGCGAGTTGGAAACATGTTGTAGTGCCTGAATGCATTGATCCAATACATCGTCGTCCTCGTCGCTGTCGTCATAGCCCTCATTATCGTCATTCCGATGACGATCGTCAACATCTTTCTTGGTGTTGGCTTGCTGTATCAGGCATCTATTCATTATCTGATGAACTTGGCCGATCTTGCCCATATCCAACGACGTGGGTGATTTAATCATTAGCGATTGTTGGTGTTTGTTACCGCCATCTGACATGAACGTGACCAATACTGTTTCTGGTAACAAAGAAAACGAGGCGTTGGTTAAACCCAGGATGCTAGCACTATGCTGTAAAGCTTCTTCCTAGCATATTAATTAGACGTGATATTTAGTTAATAATATCAATCCCAGTTGAATTGTAAATCTTAAAAAAATCGCAAGAGGGGGTTGGCTATTATAACTAACCGCTCGATGGCCAGGGCAGCCGCTTTTTAAAAGACACTCGCCTAAGAGAACGACTAATCTTTCTTTTTTGGCTCTCGTTATTTGATGCGGCATCATTATTCTCGGATATGCTGCAGTTGACGTTGGTCCCGCTGCTGTAGTCTTCGCTGTTGCTGCGATTGTAGCAACACTTTCACCAGTAGCAACTGTAGCAGCTGAGGGTCGAATGGATGCTTTTCTCGTACAAGAGAAGTTAGCAGAAGCAGTAGTAATTGTGGGCGATGTAGATGTTGTGAAAGCGGCGGTGGTGCACTCATCATCCTTAAACTTCGGACGATGCGTCGGCACATACACCAACGGGGAATAGTGGTGTATCAAACTGCGATGTCTGTGGTGATGTGCTCCCATGACTTTATTTTCGACAGCTGCTGCAATTGGAAGATTATTACGGATCGGAATAGTCACCTTGTCGATGGTTTTATTCAAACCGTCTGCTGTGGCATTGTATATCCCAACAAAGCCATGATTATTGCGACGTTCACTTTGGTAAAGGTCACTTCTGCAGCTCGTATAATCAGTCGTCAATGGTGATCGTGGCGCCTTCACTTTATATTATTAAAAACCTTGATGACAAGGAAAGTTGATGCATCATTAGACGCCTTTCAAAATTAATAAAAGTGCGTACCTGTTCTTGTTCTGCTTCTATGAAAGATTCTCTGTTGTTCCAACTTGTGTCGTTGTATGTGGCTTCTTCTGCTGTCGCTGTAACAGATGCATTTGATGCTGTTGTGGGTGTCGTCTGATTGATATCAACCTCAGGATCAGATAATTTTGTTGATGTAGACGTAGATGGAAGGCCTGCTGGATTCTCGTCAGTCAATGTAGCTTGTGATGCAAGACTGGAATATGATGATGATACGCATAAACGTCGATCGGTCATTTTGAACAAGTATGTATATATATGAGTGTAGATGGTGAGTTTTTCAGCTCTATTGTTTGATATATGTTAAGGAAGAGGAAGTATGTGGAAGGAGGAAGAGGAAGATTGCATAACAAGAGCAATCGTTTAGAGTGGGGTAATATAGTTTGCAGTAATAAATAATAAATAGCTGTCACTGCTCTGCTCAACATTTTTCGGCTCTCCTTTTGTTTATTGCCTTTTGCAAACATCAAATAATATTACGTCGTCGGGTAGTATAAGCTAGCTAGGCTCCAGCTGTGTGCATGTGTGTATATTCCTTACTAACGTACGGCAGCTATTATTACTGGTAAGAAAAAAAGAAAAAGAGAAGAGCGAGAGAGATATCACATGCCCCTTTGTTCTTCAGTATTTGCCAAGGAGTACTTTCTTTTGCCGCTTTTCTTGTATCTTCCATCAGATGTACCCCGGTCGCATATGAAATAAGTGCACCTATTGGGGTTTCATATTCAAAAACCAATTGCATGTGTTATACTAACGCAGATCTCCAAACAAAACCTTGTGCTGTATATACTTTTGATCGAAACACTTATAAACTCAGGATTGGCCACGACTTGTGTATATACCGAGGACAGACTTCCGTTTTTTGAATGGAGCAAGAAGGATTATCAGTACAATTAGGAAGTGTATAGTAGAAGAATAAGAGTAAGTCATCATACCTTCCTTCGTCATCTACTTGTACGGCGATTCCACGTTCATAATATTAAGATATCGGGCCGAAGTAAAGGCTTTTTATTAGCCCGATTACCAGGTTCATACCTTCTTATATGTTATTACTATTAATGAAGAGCTAAATTAAGCGATGACGATGATGCTATTTTTGAAACACAAATGTCTGCCATTGTTACCGTGCCTTGTTAAACCACTCCCTAACATCTAACACATAATTTAGTGTCGTCTGCCTGCGCAACAGCAGAATAAAGCGCGCGGGCCTTCGATGCTCTCACGTGGTTGGTTGATGGTTGATAGACATAAAATCGAAGCAGGAAAAAGCCCTCACACAGAGACAGATACACATCTTTCCGGTCACACGAAATAATAGGAGACAGAGAGCATCCATTACTGACAATGTCGCAAAACAAATCCACAGCTTCTGTCAGTAATGGTTCTGGTAGTAAAGATTTAAGTTGTTTACGGTGTCGTAAAAAGAAAGCAAAGTACGTTCTATTGTATTCTTGCCTGTATTAAATTGTGTGCACCAAAGATTATTAAACTATTGCACATATAAATAGATGCTCAAAAACTCGACCAGCATGCACTCGTTGTGCTCGTTCGAATCAACCTGTAAGACGAAAATACCGACTTTCCTTTCGCTCCCCTTCTTTTTTATGATTGTCTTGAATTGACTAAATATTCAATCATTAGTGCGAGTATCCTGATGCACCACCGAATCTCACGGATTTATCCCAGAAAGTGTTGAGCTTGTACGACACGCTACGAGAACTCGAAGATAAATTTATGCTCCAATACGCTGTTCAGGAACAAGAGCAAACCGAACAACTGGCCCGTGCAGGCGAAAAACGACGAAGACGAAGCAGTAGTGGATACAGTAATCCAAAATCGCCACCTGATGATTTACCAAGTATTGAAACCTTGACGCTATTAAACCCAGCAAAACGATCTCGACAGCACTCTTTGCAACGATCCTTGAAAGAAGAACATATGCAACCACCGGAGTATGAGGAACAGGAACAAGAAGACGATCCGTCTTTTATTGCTCAAAAGTCGTTGCCTGGAAACTGGTCCATGTCACTCACGTCTGACGGCTTGTCTTTACACGCGGTAGCACGCAATATGATTGAATTTTCAACGTTTGCCAAAGACTTCTCACATCAACTGCGTAACAATGATCCAGAAAACAAATTGACAAAGAGTTGGGAATGGTACGAGGAGGAAACGATAGCCGAAGACGAAGACGATCCGTTGGATGAAGATGAGTACCTGGTAACGGTACCTGTTTATTCGTTGTCATCGTTACTGGCTAATAATAGTCGTCACCAAAACAACGACAACGACACTTCTGTATATAATAATCACAACAATACTGCTACTACTACTGCTACATTATCGCCGATGATTCCCGATGATGGCGACGATACCCTTTATAATAACCGAATACAACCTGCCCTTGACGATATAATCACCCATTTACGCAAGACATACGATCTACTAGCCATGGACG